TGCGAACATAAAAGTTCGTGGTATGTTCGTTGCTAACCTTTTTCAGATTTTGCTGTATTTTGCTTTGACTTTGTTTTGTACTCTTTTTATGACCAATCGAGTTCTTATGGCTAACTCTGCAAGTGTTTCGCTTCGGACGTAAAATCTTCTCGATGCTTCTGTTATTGTTGCTACAGTGCCAGTTCAGCCTTTTCGTGAATGTAACCCAACAAGTTCGTTCTCTCAGGTTGTTTCCCTCTTTATGCTATGTCTTGTTAAATCTGAGCATGTCAAATTTCACCACCTTGTCGCAGCAGTTTTTCCGCTAGGCGGCGACGATCTCGCTAAGATTTTAGGACTTCCAAATCTCAATGGATTTGCGAAGAAATCAAAGCTATCATTTTACAGCGAATTGTTATGTCAGAGCGAGATGGCATCTCAAAATTACTTAGCGAAACCGAGCTAGGTGGTCTGCTACCATCTCAGCCACTGTGTTAAAGCCCTCACTATTTTCGTTTCGTTTCTCAAAGTGATGTGGCTTCGCAGCCTTCCACACGAAATGCGTAACATCCTATATACTAATTCAGGTGCGATTGTGCTTTCGTTAGCCGAGGCTACTGACCATAGACTGGGAATACTACCGCTGAATCATGCACATCTTGAGGCTGCTGGAAGAAACCAATACGCAGCTAACATCAGCCATGGATATGCTAAGTAAACGACCCGAGGAAACAGTAGCTTCATGGAATGTTGCAAAGAGCCGTTCGTCGTGTTGCAAATCCCGTGCGAGATCTCCGTTTACTACAACTGCCCATTGCTGATACCACATGCAATTTGGAGAAAACGCCAGCTCCTGTCGCCCACAATGTTCCTTCCCCGCAATCTGCAGGGAAACGGCCCGGCCAATACGTAGAGGTGACGGATGTTGCTGATCACCACAATCACCTTTTCCTTGCTACTTATTGAGAAACAGGAGTTTGCCACTTGATGGACCCTGGTTCCGAAGTTAGCGTCCTTCCTTAGTATAAAAAAGATTCGAATAAAAAGGCGATTTGTTCATTGTGCGGTCAATGGTACCATCATTCACAATTATAGTCAATGTTTTCGCACACGTAATTTAAGCCTACGGCTTTCCGTCAAGTGGAGTTCCCTCAACGAGGACGTCCGGAAGCCAATTCTTGGACTTGAGTTCTTGCAACACTTCGACTTGCTAGTTGACGCGAAGCATCGCAGTCTGATCAATCGCCATACGAATTTAGCAGTTATAAGCACTGTAACTGACATTAACTCAAGCAATCCTCTATACGCCAACCAATTGAACTCAACCGTTGGTCAGATTCCTCCAAGCAATTTCCGCAAGTTCTCCGCACATGTGCCATGGATGCAGCAAAGCATCACATGGTTATCCATGGTCCGTCTGTATTCGCCAAAGCCAGGCGAAAGACCCCCAAAAAGCTGAAGATTGCCAGCACCTAATTCGAGCATTTGCTTGAGCTAGGCATCCATCGCCCGTCGAAAAGCCCGTGGGCGCCGCCGCTTCACACGGTGCCAAAAATGTCAGGCGACTGGCTTCCATGTGGCGATTACCGCGTGCTTAATATTGTGACCGGTACAGATCGTTATCTTATTCCTCACATTCAGGATATCACGGTTAGTCTACGCGACACATGTGTTCTTACAAATCCATCTGATCTGCACTTATCACCAGATCTAAGTCGCTGAGGAGATACACCGAAGACTTCTGTAATCACACCATTTGAGCTTTTCGGATTTTTAACCATGCGCTTTGGTCTTCGGAACGCAGGGCAGGCTTTTCAGCGCTTCATAGATTCTGTCACCAGAAGTCTGGGTATCGTCTGTCCCTACATCGACGATCTTTAATTGGCCAGCGCTATTAAAGAACAGCACGCAAAACTTCTCAAGACACTTTCGATGGGTTGATCACTAATAGCTACTTCAAAGATCAAAAGCCTGCGACCTCATGGCTATAAAGGAGACATGGTTATACCCTGACGTAAGTGACGTGGAGATCGTACTGCGAGACATGTCCATTTTTCGGCACGACCGACCCAGCAAATTTGGAGTAAAGCCTCTGTACTTCTGCAACGCCCTCCAATGTGAGCTCATAGAGTATCCGGTCAATACGGGCAAGATTCCTTTGGTGTCGTCTACGGTTAAAAGGCGACGACACCTGCTTGGAGGCGATCATTTACCGCCCTCTTTCCTCCACGCTTGAGATGGACTCCCAGCTGTCATCTGCAATAAGGAGGGTGATAAGCAGAACTTACAACCACGTTCTCATTACTGGCGATTTTAGCATTCATGCTCCGGAGTCCCAAGCATCTCCTGGAGAACAGTTTAAGGCGGATCTACAAGAGTTTGCCTCCAGTTACCCGCTGGAGGGCCACATCAACACCCGCTCAATTCCGAGAACAAGATAAGTCGTCAATACTGGATCGGATATTCAGCAACAAAGAACTAATGGTCGGGAGGGTGATCATGGACGTCCCACTGGGCTCGCAGCGTTCATGTAGTCCTACTCTTCCAATACATTTGTTAT